GTATGCATGTTTCTTGAATCTAGATTGAAATCATATGGCAAGAGGGTTGGAAACACCAGGTACATATGTCAGGGGCTAGAGCACCAGCCTGCCCTGGCACGCTATCAGGCCAACTGCTGGACTGCTCCTTGGCATAAATACAAGTCTCCCCTGCTGGCAGCTCATGTTCCAGGCTCCTGGCTGGGCCTTGCCATTTGCCCTGCATCATTTTGGGCAGGTAGGCAGACAGGAAGGCACAACTGGGGATAGTTGAGCAATGAGGGCTGCTGTGACCACAGCTGGTGCCAGCAGCCTGTCATACAATCCACCTTTCCCCCTTCCTTCTCATTGAGCACTACAAACAAAGGTTGCAGGTACTTACCGTATATACAGATTTTGGTAGTTTGTTCAGTTACTAAGTTGTTTTTTATTTTATTTTAAAATTTAATTTTCCCTGTGCTAAAGGGAAAACAAGATACTTCTATCACCCATTTTCCCCCAGGACAAGAGTACACATTCTCATAGACACACTTTTAAGAAATATCAAAGTATTCCTAAATGTGGGAAAAGAATAAGTTCAGGATAAAGAGAAAATATTTACTATTAATAGCAATTAACTTATTCTAAAAAGACATTTCTTAGCAAGGCAACGGGGTCTTGAAGGTTGTACTTAGGGAACAATGAACACACAAACACTCACACATATATATTCTCTACTCTCTTTTTACTTGCTGGGAATGTTTGTTCTAAGTGAACAGACCACTTTAAAATTCAGATGATAACTACAGAAACCCTAATGTGCACAAAATAAACAGATTCTGCTCATTTGCTTCTTTAAGAGATGTTTCACCCTGACTTTTCTTCTCCTTCTAACCTAATCTGGATTCCCAACTGAGAGCCAGTGACCTGATCTGCATAGGAGTGAGTTCAGAATATCCCTGAGCCAGTCTTGCCTAGACTGCAGAACCCCAAACTGTTCTCCTCTAGAGGTGCTCCTGTGACCAGCTCTAGCACCCCAGAAGCATCTTTACCTCTGTCAAGCAGTAGTCTACAAAGTTTAATTTTGTTTACATCTTCAAAGTCAAAGAGGGTAAAATGCTATCTAGAGAAAAGGAAAAGTGCTTGCTTTAAGTCTTAGTTTTCTGTTTTTGTTCCTGTCCCAGCCCCGATTATCTTGGTTTCTCTAGACAAGTTAAAGGCTCGCATGGGACTGTGGTCTTTCTACATTATCTCAAAGTTTTTATTCTTGTCCTCAAAACAGGTGCCCACTCTGCTCAGTTTTTATATTGAATGGTTAGCAAAGTAAAACATTCCAATTCCCAACCTAATAAAGATCAAGGCTCTAAACTAGAAATTTATTGTCTTTCCCAAACTGACATTATTCAATGAAGAGAATAAAATACATACATAAAATCCTGGCCTATCTGCATACCCCATTCTTCCACACACATACAAAAAGCTAACTATTTTTATCCTGTGACGTGTATTTGTCTTAGTTTTGATATAACCATATATTCAAGGTCTTTATCACTGAAGGTACATGAAGGTTGTGCATTTAATCTTTGGCATGGTTGTAGGAGATATGATTAAAATAGAGAATAGATAAAAATAAGCATGTAGCAGCATGGTGCCGAATCATCAGAACTCCACATCTTATCAACAAATAGAAGTCATTCTTCTTTATTTCTTGAGCAAAGAAGTTTCATGTAAGATAAATAGCTTTCAGTCAGTATAGCCTAACATGCAATATGCATCTTTTTGACATGCATATTCTAATAGTACTTTTGACCGTAAGATTAAAAGAAGAAAAATCCCTGTGCTGTGTGTTTACAACCAACACGACTATAGTTGAATCTGCATTTTTTTTCATTTTTCATCTCCTAGAATTGGGCTCAGTGTATGTATGTTTGTACATTACTTGCTGTTACTAAATGATCAATTTCTAGTGACCTTCAAGTACCATTTTCTAAAGTTTTACAAGGGAAATAATTTGGAGGAGTTGTGCTTTTTTATAACAAACATTGCATTTCACATTATGCTTTGGAGATATTGTGCTTTGTTTTCAGAGATCAGCATATAACAGTATGTGTTCCTAATATCTGGATTTAGAAGGAGGATTCTGATACATGACCTTGAGAAAGACACCTGCTCTAGTTTTACTCTCTTTATATTACAAAGGAAGAATTTGTGTTAGATAAATCATTATATATTTTTTGTTGTTAACAGAGAATATAGATGGGTGATAAGGGAGTTGGAATGAAAAGTTGGAAGTGGACATTGTAAATGGTCCAAGCCTTTGGTGCTGGGCTGATCTTCCCTCTGTGGGTCCTTGCTGAAAACTGCTTCACAGCGAAAGCTGCTTATTGGGGCTCGAAGGCTCCTTCTATTCACAAATCCTGTTGCAGTGCAACTGTACAGTTACCACCTTTCAGGGAGCCAGGCTCTTATAAGGTTTCCATTCTCACTTAAATACTAGCTTTCACTTTTTGAGATAGAAAACTCAACTTAAGCTGCTGAGGAAATTGGAGAGTAGTAGTAATTTTAAGTTTTTAAATATTCATTGCTGTTTTCATACTTATCAATTTGCCTGTGTGGAAGGGAAAATGTGGGTTTTTATAGCATACAGCCTTTGATTGAAACCCCAGCTCTGCTGCTTATCTATTTGTCTGGCCTTTTGGAAGTTCATTTCTGAAATATTTTCTTATCTGCAAAATTGGCAAAATACCTACATGGTTGACATTGCGGAAGAAAAGAAATTTTGTACAAGTGTTAAAAAAAAATACTCTTCTCCTTTCTTCTACTTCAATGTCAAATTAGTATGAAGAGTATTGACAATGATACTACACATTATCAATTACAAAAAAATCTACAAAATCTATTTCTTAGCCTAACATTGCTTACAGAGGAGACACATTTTAAAATGACAAGATATGACAAAAAACTGCCTCATGTACATGAAAGATACTGTTACATCAATTTATGCTGATCAGGTCTGCTTGGGCTTGGACTGTTGAGTACGTTGGCTACTTAAGTTTGATCTTTGTCTGCCTCTATGACCCTATCCGTTCTCTTTGCATCTCCTAGCTTCCACAACTTCAAAGAATGCTCTAAAAACATAGGCCTAAGAGTGAAATCAATTCTGCAGGTTTCAAATTAGTCATACATATGAAAGCTTTTTAAAAAGGATAAAAATCTATGCAAACTCAAGGCAACAAGTAAAAAAAAAACCCCAAAACTAAAGATATGATTTCTTAAAAAAAAATAAATTCTTTCCAGATAACAGGCCAGTATAGATAACTATGTGCTGTGCAAATATGCCCATTTGGGGAGATTTAAGAGAGAGAATAAAGAGAAGCCACAAAAGACAGCCAGAAGGCCTGGGTCCTAAGTGCACCTTTCCTCCTTCCTCTGGGCTGTTCTTCGTAATTCTTTGTAGTACAGCATATCATCACAAACACTGGTCCTAGTTTCCAATTTCCTTCACAAACACTGGTCCTAGTTTCCAATTTCCATCACAAACACTGGTCCTAGTTTCAATACCTAGTTTGGTAGGTATGTGAGCTTGGACAGGTTACTTACCTTCTCAATTTCTCATTATAAAATGGGGGTAGTATTATCTAGTTCACAGAATAATGAAGAGCATTGAAGAAGGCAATAAATATGAAGAACTTGGCTCAAAATTGTACTCAGAACATGTTTAAAAAGTAATTAATGCTTATTATTATTATTACTTTTGCAAGAGGAGATTGATTCAGTGTTTCCCAAAGTGTGGTATGCGTACGCCCAGGGGTAAGGGAAGAGTTTGGTGGGAGTATGCGTTGCACCGGAGTTTGGTGGGGATATGTACTGCACCGTGCTTAGCTGTGCCTAATTCTATGTTCTCAGGAGTATGAGGGTTACTCAGTGTTAACGAAAATTATAAAAGGGGTACACATATGTCAAAAGTTTGGGAAACACTGGATTAGATGATCTAAGTTATTTTTAATCTTTAAAATTAGATACTTCTTTCCTTTTTTCTAACAAAATATCCCTTGCAGAGCTTGGTATGTTCTGAATTCAAGGTTCTGGGAGCCTGACAAGATTTAGTAGAAGAGTGTTCAGACTGAGTAATTGTAAAAGCAAAAGCTAACCTATCTCTACAAACCCAGTTGGTGTAGCCAGTATTCTGCCTCAAGTAAATCTGTATATATTCCTCCATCTTCAGTTTATACCCACAGACATCCAGTGCCATCTCAGATAATAACATTGAGTGCTGAATATTTTTGCAAACTATTTTAACATGTCAAAAGAACAGTATAAGCACATATAAGATGCTACTATATGGTAATAAAATAAATCTTCCTGTGTGGCATGAAGGTTTATTAGCTTGGAGCCAAGCTCTGCGCTGTTCTCCAGGAGCCACATATGACATTTCTCACTAATGGCTCATGCTGCCACTAAGTGTTTGCCTCTACACTGAGTGGCCAGATTATTATGATCTCTGAACACATAATAATCTGGCCACTTAGAGGCCCAGTGCATGAATTCATGCATGGGTTGGGTCCAGCCTGCCTGGCCAGCGGGAGGGGACATGGGTTGTTGACCGGCCTGCCTGCTGGTCAAACTCCTGGTTGAGGGGACAATTTGCATATTAGCCTTTTTATTATATGGGATATATATTGAGTGGCCAGATTATTATGCATTCAGAGATCATAATAATCTGGCCACTCAGTGTATCTGCTCCAGTCTTTGGGAATGCAGACATGCATTTGCATTTAAATTAATAACTCTGCAGAATCTAAATGAAGGACACAGAAAAGACCTTTCATTTTCTGAGTCCAAAAGGAAGAAAAAAAAGACCTCTTTCTAATTATATATTTGATAAGAGTTGTTTACAAATGTATAAGAATATACTTATTTTATGGGAAAAATGCTTTATATGGTTCTCAGCAAATTAAATTGGAACTTTGTTTTTAATGATTTTACTATTTACATTAAACTGTGGTTATCAGCCAGAGAGAAAAATAGGTGTGCAAACTTACTTTCTTCATCAAGAAGATTTTCAGCAGCTGATAGTAACCTCTTCCTGTCTTCAGGGTTTTTAATGTTTAATTCAATGAGATGATTCTCTTTTATATCCTTTAAATCTTCTAGGGTCTCATAACCATTGAGCAAAAGTGTTGATGAGTATTCCTGAAAAAAAAAAATTATGTATAATATGAGCTAGTTGGATTCAAATACTTTTAGTTCTCTGTAGACTTATAGAAAGTATAGAAATGCTTATGCAAGCCAAAGGTGCCAATAAAACTTTTGCTTAACTTTATTTTACTTTTATTAGTTTTCACATATAAACTCTAGGGCATTTAAAGGAGTAAGAGATATAATTCTGACCTTCTGGAAGGACAAATAGAGAAGAAATAATTACCTTAAGCATACAATGCTAAATAATGGATCAATTAAATAGCTAGATCATTCATCCTATTTGGCACTTTTTCACTTCTCAAATTGCTAAATTGATAAAACTAGAGTGCCTTAAGTTTATAAACAAAGTGCTTTTAATAGAGTATAATATAGTAATATTTTTGAATCTACATCTCTTATTTGCTTGATTGCAAAAACAGCTACTCTCATTAATTTCTTGGGGTAGGGTAAAAAATAAATTTGAAACAGATGCAATTTAAAAGTGTACTGAGGACTTAGCTGATTTGCTCAATGGATAGAGTGTCAGCCTGCCAACTGAAGAGTCCCAGGTTCTGTTCTAGTGGGGGGTTGTGGGGGAAGGAGGCCCAGGTTTTAGCCTTGATCCCCAGTGGAGGGCTTGCAAGAAGCAGCTGATCAATGATTCTCTCTCATCATTGATGTTTCTGTCTCTCCCTTTCCCTTCCTCTCTGAAATTAATAAAAACACGTTTTTAAAGTGGTCTTAGGATATTGGTTATAAATCAAAGGAATCCAAGGCTTTCTATTTAATTAAAAGTTTTATTAAGCTTTACAAAAGTACTGTGGTTGGAAAAAAGTATTGTTTCCTTTTCTCAACACATATATCTTGTCCATCATTTGCATTAATATATACTAATTAAAATTCCTGGGCTTTGCCCTAACTGGTTTGGCTCAGTGGATAGAGTGTCAGCCTGTGGCCTGAAGGGTCCCAAGTTCAAATCTGGTCAAGGGCATGTACCTTGGATTCAGGCACATCCCCAGTGGGTAGTATGCAGGAGGCAGCTGATCATTATTTCTAACTCTCTATCCCTCTCTGTTAAAAAAATCAGTAAAATATATTAAACAAAATCAATAAAATATATTAAACAAAATAAAAATAATTTTACTGGGCTTTTGATTTCAAAGTCTGTATTTTATTTATGTAATCTTTATTTTATCCAACAGCATAAAAATTCAAAGTGAAGTTTAATGCTTTTCAACTTTCTCAAAAATTCCTCCCATTTTATTTTATTATTATTTCAAAACCCTTACTTTAGTTATTAAAATTGAGTAAGAGGAAGTATAAAAGTTTTAAATAATCAGGAAGAGCTTATTAGCAGCCCTTTAATGTTAAAAACAAACAAAAAAGAAAACCCCAGTAGCAATTCTTTTAAAAATATCCTAAAAGAAACACTGAATTAGGACAGAGAAAACTGAGTTCCCATTCTGATGTAACCATCTAACTGAGGGTTCATGACTAAGTTATTTCACTTCCTTAGACTTTGATTTTCTCATAGGTCATTAAAACACACACACACACAAAACACAAAAACAAATAGGGAAGCAGGATTCAAACTTGTACTTCTTCCAAGGAGTACCCAATTTGGGAGCACCAGTAGTAATGTAGGAAGACCTAGGCAGTGTGTCTACAGACAAGATTGTAACTAGATAATTCAGGACAAACAATTAAGGGAAGTTTAGCTATTGCCTTAATGAATTTCAAAAAATATATCATAGTACTACCAGGTTAACTTTTAAAATGGATTGCAAAACAGTAAATTGAGTGAGGCTAGGTATATATTTAACAAGGTAGATACTTTGCTAATATATGAGAAAATAATTTGATTATAAATATAGACAACACAGGTTTTTTTTTTAATGCAATTATTATGTAGGCTTAAGATGACTATTTCCTAACAAATTAATTTTAAAACAGTTATATTTACTTATTTTCCTTTGACTTGCTTTTGATTTCTGCTCTAAAGAAAATATAATTTTCATTTTTTTCTTTCAAGTTTCTGGTACCATTGTAATTAGCTAGTTAACATTAGGAAAGGAGCAAAAGGGAGGCCAGACTTTATAGACCTGTTAATCACACTCCCCAGGGAACCACTGGCCCACTTCCTTGTAGCTTACTGGGGAAAGGAATTGGACAAAGGGGAAGTTGTGTGCATGCACAGTGAATTGGGGTGTCATAGGGAAAGTGGCAGTCAGTCAAGCTTGGGGAACCATGAATTGACTAGAGTAGGGGAGGGCCATTGCAAACATGCAAAAATTTGGGAATATGTAATCCTCTAAACAAAAGAAGTTCACATTCTCTCTGGGCCCTTATGTTCCTGCTTCCTTGCATTAACCTGTGTTTCCTACATAGCCATGTGGCCATGTGGACCCTACATGTAAAGGGTACAGATGAACTATATCTAGGAATACAAACTAAGCTAGCCTGATGCTGGATTACACTGTGTCTCAATCTAGAATGGAAATTTGGGATACTGGCTTTGATTTTAGCCCTGCTAAAAGCAAAATGGAACCTTGGAAACTCAGGAGTTTAATTTATCAGAAACAAAGCTTTCTACAATACTACATCCTCCCCTGCAAGTCTCAAAAAATTATTTTTCTTGGGATATCATAGAAAACTAATTCCCACTAGCAACCTGTAGAGATGTGGAGATCTTTATATTGATAACATCTGGATTTTTATTTTCACTCTTCATACTTTCTTTATGATTCTCATTTACATGTTTCCTCTGGGTCATTTATTCTCCTAGGTATTTTTTTTTTTCACCACTCTTTCTCAAGATTAATCTCTATGGTCATTGCTGAGTAGCAATAGAGTTTAGTCCAAAGGATATTATATCAAGACCCATTCTTGCATAATAAAAGTGATAAAGAAGAAATAAGAGCTGTTCTTATTTTCCTTTGCTGTAAGTCATGTATTTTTTAACAATTCTATGCAACACTGATCTAGTCTCTTTAATTTTTCTGTCCATATGCCACAAGAATCCAATAGACCACATGTTTGCTAACCTGAAGGTGAATCCTCTCTAAGAATTCCTGCAGGTTCTTGGATTTTTCTCTTCCACTCCTCCGGTGTGTTTTTATTTTCCTGGGGGCTGATTCCTCTTCTGAGATGACATCCACATAAATAAATTTAAAGTTTCCCACTTTATTGTTTAACATTCCTGTCCACATCCCCATTGGTGTTTTGCAGATTATGTCTATGATGTCTCCTTTCTAAGGACAAAGAAATATGCAAATCAAATTTCAGAGAACTCTGGTGCTATTGTAGAAAGAATGGAATCATAGAAAAAAACTTAAACATAATATGGGAAACAATAAAAATCCTAGAGGAATCCAGAGCAGCAAAATCTCAGACGTATGCTAACGCAATTTCTTCACTGATACCAGCTCCTAGAACAAAGGAAACTAAAGAGAAAATAAACAAATGGGACTACATCAAAATAAAAAAGCTTTTGCATAGCAAAAGAAATCACCAACAAAACAACAAGAAAGCCCACAGCATGAGAGAACATATTTGCCAATATTATTTCCGATAAGGGTTTAATCTCCAACATTTACAGGGAAAACAACCCAATTAAAAAATGGGCAATGGACCTAAATAGATACTTTTTGAAAGAAGACATAAGGCCGGGTCCAGTTTGGCTCAGTGGATAGAGTGTCAGCCTGCGGACTGAAAGGTCCCAGGTTCGATTCCGGGCAAGGGCATGTACCTTGGTTGCGGCCACATCCCCAGTGGGGGTTGTGCAGGAGGCAGCTGATCAATGATTCTCTCTCATCTATGTTTCTAACTCTCTATCCCTCTCTCTTCCTGTCTGTGAAAAATCAATAAAATATATATTAAAAAAAAGTAAGAAGACATAGGAAGGCCAAGAAACATATGAAAACATGCTCAAAGTCACTAATCATCCAGAGATGCAAGTCAAAATAACAATGAGGTGCCATTTCACACCTGTCAGAATGTCTTTCATCAACAAATCAACAAACAAGTGCTGGCAAGGATGCAGAGAAAAAGGAACCCTCATGCACTGCTGGTGGGAATGCAGACTGGTGCAGCCACTGTGGAGAACAGTATGGAATTTTCTCAAAAAACTAAAAGTGGAACTCCCATTTGACCCAGTGATTCCACTTCTAGGAATATATACCAAGAAAATAGAAACACCAATCAGAAGAATATATGCACCTCTATGTTTATAGCAACACAATTTACCATAGCTAAGATTTGGAAACAGCCTAAGTGCCCATCAGCAGATGAATGGACCAAAAACCTATGGTACATCTACATAATGGAATACTACACTGATATAAAAAAGAAATTCTTATCATTTGCTAGAGCATAGATGGACCTAGAGAGCATTATGCTAAGCAAAAGATAAATATCACATGATTGCACTCATTTGTGAAATATAATGAACAACATAAACTAATGAAAAAAACAGATTCAGAGACAGAGAAGCATTGATCAGACAGTCAAACCTCAGAGGAAAGGCAGGAAAAAGTGAGGTAAGGGGGAGAGATCAACCAAAGGACTTGTATTGATGCATATAAGCCTAATCAATGGACACAGACAACAGGGGATGAGGGCATGAGTGGGGGTGGTGTGAGGGAGCAATGGGGCAATAAGACACATATGTATGTACTTAATCAATAAAGAAAAAAGTTATAAAAAAGAAAATAGAATAACTAGGGCATTATGCTAAGATGGTTCCAAGATAACAAATAAATATGAGGAAGTTTATTTTAAACATATGAGGAATCCCAGCTGGTGTGGCTCAGTGGTTGAACATCAACCTATGAACCAGGAGGTCATAGTCAGATTCACAGTCAGGGCACATGCTCAGGTTTTGGGCTCGATTCCCAGTGTGGGGCATTCAGGAGGCAGCTGATCAATGATTCTCTCTCATATTTGATGTTTATATCTCTTTTTCCATTTCCCTTCCTCTCTAAAATTAATAAAAATATATATTTAAAAAAAGTTTAAGGAAACTATTAACTATATGAAGTAAACAATGTGTTGAAGAAAATATCCTACATGCATTTGATGACATGTTTTTATGTTTGGTGTTATATCAATTTGTCAAGTTTTATTTGTAAAGCATAATATAATTTGCAAAACAATTTTGCACAAATGAAGTAATTTTATGCCAACAACACACCTCTTATGTATATATACAAGGTGTCATTGTTTCTATAAATATACAGAAAAATAAACACAAACAACAAACATTAAATAACTTCCCAAGACCTTATAGGAAATTAATGGCAGAACCAGAACTCAAGACTAAGTTGTCTGAACTAAAAAGTGATGGTCTTTTCACTCATCCTGTCAAAGCACTACATATGTAGCAAAGCTTCAGCTGCCTTTCTTGAAGGGCTTCCATACTAGGGAAAGGGAAAAAGAAATCTGTGATTCAGTTTGTGCCTCTAGTTCACCTAAAATACTCATCCACAGTACAAAATAAACACACCTAAATTATTGTATTCATCTAACATAGTGAGAGTGTTCAGAACTTTGTACAAATAAAATACATAATAAAAATATATATGTACTGAAGATGAATTGTTACTTATTCTAGAGATGATAATTCTTAGAGTAAGCTCCCCAACAAAGTTTGGATTGAAGTATCAATGAAGCACATTGGGATAGACAAAGAAATTGGTCTTTTTTTTTATTTGCATATGATACTATCTGGTTACATGCTGCCAGTTATTGGCAAGAGCAGAAAACCCCACAGGGGTAATTATTTGTAAAGAAAATGGGTACCTATGCAAATACAGTGCCTGCATTTTAGAGAAGAATTACTCCCTTGAGACCTAACTTTCTTCCCCAGAGAAGACATTATCCTTTTTGATAGTTTGGACATATTAGGGGTCTATCCCTAAATAAACAAAGCCTTAGGACAATGGTTAAGATATGTACACATATAATACCTTAATAAAACAAATGAGAGAAAAAAACAAACACACACACACAAAACAAAGCAGTAACTTGGCTACTAAGAATATTTTTTCTTGCTGCTCTGTGAATGTATCTTCTAACATCTAAAACACAGATTTTATTTGTGAAGTAGAATTCAAAATGATTAAAAGACCTGAGCTTTCTGATTTGTAACAGTCTGCCTGTCTGACACTATTAGCTTTCATCTAGCTCTTTCTTGCCTTTCACTATAAGGGCATCAAATCTTAGGCTTGATGAGATCAGCTAATCAGTCCCAGAAAAATCCCCAGAAGCTCTGAAGGGAGTTTCTAAGCATGGCAGCCCTCTGCCATATCCTTCCTAGTATCTTTAAAACTTGTAAAAATTGTTCATTCCAGGAAAGGTCACCAAGCAAAGACTCAATGTCATTTTGGATAAGACCTTTCTTGGAAACATCAGTACTCGATTTTCAGTGGTAACTGGGATTCTTATTGTGTCTTACAAGTCCTCAGCAAGCATCACCTTGGGCAGCACCAGAGGTAGCGAACTGTCACAACACTGTGGGGAAGGTGAACAGCTATTCTGAATCAAAATGTGTTCAGTTTACTCCCTTCTTCTCCTCACCTTTCCTCAAGACAGGAACTAAGAAATGACTAAGGGGTCAATTGCAGTGAATAATGTTTTCTTCATTTCCAACTGAGCTTGCTCAGAGTTGATACCACAGAATGGACAAAGAGAAAAGTTGTTTGCTTTGAACGTTAAATGATAATATCAATACTTCATAACTTATAAATATTGGTTAACATCAGCTTGGTGTTGTCAGCATAAAAATTCATAAATTCTGTCCTTTTAGCTATATAGCACTTTGTGTTACTAAGAGGAATAATTTGACATCCATAAAATATTTTAGCACTAAACCTTCTTCTATTTGTGCTGTTGTAACCAGCTCCTCCCCTTAAGTATAAGCAGAATAATGAAAATGATGGATTTCTCCCCTATGATTATGTTGTATTACATGACAGAAGGGACTATGCAGATGTAATTAATGTCCCAGACTAGTTAATTTTGTAATTATCTGGGCGTTTCTGACTTAATTGGGTAGAAGCTCTTAAAAATAGAGATATTTAAGCCTGAATGTTTCTCCTGCAGAACTTGTTATAGAGAAGGCCGTGGCTGGCCGCCTCCAGGAGCTGAGGATGATCCAGGTGCTTTCCGGGAAGAGAACACGAGACTCACTCCTACAGCCACAAGTAACTGAACTCTGCCCACAGCCAGTGAGCTTAGGCAAGATCACATTTCCAGCTGGCTCCTGATTTCAGCCCAGTGAGACCTACTGAACCATGCCCAAATTATGACCTATAGAAATATGAGATAATAATACATCTGTGTTGTTTGAGGCCCCAAGGTTTGTGCTAATCTGTTACACAGTAACAGAAAATGCATACAGAGAATAAGAGTAAGAAGAGGGAATTCAGGGGGGAATATCATTGGTAGGAAGCTATTTGGTTACTCAGAGTAACCAATTTAAGCACTGAGTGAAGACAAGTCTGGTTCCCAAGGCCCGTGCTCTGCTGGAATTTTGCCTAATATCTTCACCTTTTCTCCCTCACCTTTGCATTATTATTTTCACTTCAGGAATAATCAGGCAGAGGTAGGCACCTGCTTTCAGGAATATGTACACAATCCCTTCTCTGATAGGCTTTGATTATGGATTATCTTCATAATAGCAGTTTATGCTAATAGCTTCAATAGACTGACTCCTACTCTGCCTGCCGTGTAAGGTTTAAATTCTTGCCACAGCAAGCTGGTCCCCAGTTCTACTGTTGGGAAGAACAGACTCACATCTCCTCCCCCCAATTCTCACTGCTTGCCCTTGAGAAACAGGTCATACAACCAGCACTGGACACACCACACAGAATGCAGATGTGCATGCACACACCTTGATTTTGAGGGAGTCAGTGTCATAGGGGCTTGGCGTGAAGTCAGTGTGCACTCTGGCACGGCCACAGAATGGTCCAGAGTAGGGGCTCTCATCTTCAAGTCGAAAGCTGTCCCGGTTACTTGTGCCATCTGAACAGCTTGTTATTCCACCTAAAGAAGGAAAAGCAGAGGTGAAAAATTCTCATGGGAGGTTTATAACATTCTGAACAATCACCTGGAACAACTAAGCAGAGACAATACTGAAACATCAGATGCCATCCTCCTGCAGTGGTTCCAAGGACCCGTCCTGTTTCTACCTCCCAGGCATTCTCTATCAGCAACCTCTGTCCTCTGAGCCACTTTGGACCTTTCTCCAGCCATGCTGACCACTTTTTCCTCAATCACTAACCCAAATACCATCAGACTTTGGTCTCCAATCTGATCTAGTAGTACAGTGTTTTGAGTATGGGTACTTGTTAAAGAAGCAGATAGTGTAAACTTAACTCGCTGTATAAGCCAAACAATGAAGTTTGTACATATGGCTTTCAAAAATGTTCTAAACTGGACTTTTAAAGCTGCTCTAAACCCTTGCTCTTTGGTCTTCTTCCTTTATGACTTTGAATCTCAGGGGATTAAGAGGAAAGTGATTCCGTTTTGCTGTTTGTCTGGGGGACGGATTCTGTTTTTCCAGTGGAAGTTGCTCTTGGTGTCCCCCTCTCAGTTGTTGCTTCACTTTCTCCTTCAGTGGGCCTTCAGGTGCTCAGTTCAATGACCAACAGCCTCAGTTTCTCGACCATGAATAACCATGATTGTGGAAACAAGGCCAAGATCCTTAGGGATGCTCCATATTGTATGTGAGCTGGAGTATAAGAAGGGTCATTTCTTCCAATTACAGAAACATGTTGTATGTAGCAGCTAAATGAGCCACCATCTCCTCACCCCACCCTTCTATGACCACTCTGGGCCCTGGTTTTTCATAGCACATTCTAGTTAATAAAATTCTTCCCCCACTCAGCATCACACTTCAGAATTTTAAAATTGCCAGCAGAAATGAATACTAATGATATCTGAATTTCACACATGCAAAAATGTAGCCTTCAAATGTTTCTGCAGTTGCTTTTTTAACAAAATAACTATTCTACAGCCAATAGGAAAATAGGAATAAAATTCAGGATATTTGAAACATCTGGTCTTTGCTATCTAAATTCAATTAACAGAAGCAGCTGATTTAAGAGGAAATGAAAAATAAACTGAAAAAAACATTTAAAAGCCATTACAAGATTAGAGAGAAATAAAACAGTATAAAGTGCCCTGCAATAGTAGCAAATATTGTAGCAGGATATGTGACTGAACCTCGAGTGGTTGATCGTCTTCTTAAAATATAGCAATGTTTTAAGAAAATCCTTTTGATCATCTGCTGATTCTTTTTGTCACCTAATTGGTGATATTCCTGCTTTTTAATATTTACATATTACTTTATTCTTTGCCCGCTAATGCAAGATGGAAACTTAAATGTCAGAATTGATGTAAATGCCCTGCTTTATACAGAATTTTTTAAGGAAAATAAAGGAAAGGAGGGAAAAAATGAGAGAAGGCAGGAGAAGAGAGGAGGGGGGAGGAGGAAGAGACAGGGGAGAGATAAGAGAAAGAGAGAGGGGGGAGGAAGAAGAGAGCGCACGGGGTGGGGGGGAGGAAAGAAGGAAAGAAGAGATAGAGAACATGATTTTATTTATTTGAAAACTGTAAATCTTTTTAAAAATACTGACTCAATATTAACACTAGTTCTCCCCAGCGTATGTTTTTATTTTAGGGATGCAGATTTAATTACTCAACATGATCTTCTGAGGCATATCCCCAAGGACATTTCTGACAACAACGTTAAACGTTTCAAAATAGATTAAGTACCATTTTAAACAACAGCAACACTTTAAATTCAACACATTTTACATTTTTCACTATTTATCTTATCAGGTAGCTGGAACCTTGTTGCTAATTTAAAATTGCATTTGAGAAATCAGTCCCAGAGAAGCAAGTCTGTTGTTTTTAGTTAACTTAACCCAGACTTGAACTTAACCCAGAACTTGATTTTGATTCTATAGCCTTACTTGATGAGCTCTGCCCACTGTAGAGACTGTCCATGGAATCACTGGCTTTGAGGGAGAGCTTCTCTGTGTGGGTCCCAATAATGGGGTCACTGTTCCGATATGGGAGGGCATCCTCTCCATCGTCTTCATCCTCCAGAAAAACATAACAGAGGTTAGGTTAGATCATTGCTTTCCCTGGAGATACTCACTGTGCACATTGATTTAACAAACAAGATATGATTTAATAATAAAGCACTTAGGAAAACATCAATATAAAATATGAGTGTCATTAATCTTAATTTCAATTCCTAGCAAAAAATGTTATAGATAGAACATTCCACATAATAGAATTCAACTAAAATCATAATAGTGCAATTTGTAAATTAGGATGAATATTGTATCAAGATTATTTAACCAAAAATTTTAGGTTATTGATATCTATGCTCTTCTGTTAAAGTACTTTTCTTTCTTTATGTATGTGCTCTTTCTCACCTATTTACCACTATTACTAATCCTTTGAGATCTGACATTAAAAGTTTATACTCTGCAGTTATTTCATGTCAGTTATTTGCACCCCATGAGATCACTAGATATGAATAAAACATGTTAACTTTGCAATTTTAAAACAAAGCTTTACAAATCTCAGACCATGCTTGACACCTAGTCAAGTGAAAAGCAAATCTTGCATAAATTTAGAAAGAGAGAATTTCAAAATAAATTACATATGCTTGAAAACATCTCAACTGTTTTCCATATTTAGATAGTTTGGACAAAACCTATAAATTTTTAATATTCATCAAAATGTAATTTAATAATCCTACTTTTTGATCATTTCTAAACATTGATAAAACTTCAGAATATGCATTTGATTTACACTAAGTTTGATTCTCTGTTTTTATCCATTAATTTATTCTTTTGTTTAGTCATTCAACCCACATTTATAGAACAGTTTCTAAGTACCTGGCACTGTTTTGGGAACTAGGGATACAGTGGTGAAAAAGGTAACAGAGTCATTGCTCTAATGAGGTACATTTTAGTGTCAGAGGATAAGCATGTGTGTGTGTGTGTGTGTGTGTGTGTGTGTGTGTGTATGTGTGTGTGTACACTGTTTGGGGAGGTATGTGTAAACATAATAAGCAAGAAAATATCAGAGAATAAGTGCTATAAAAGGACATAAAACTGGATGATGCTAGGAGATTAGCTACTGGATTAGGGTTGGGGGAAGTTCAGTTAATTTAGAAGGAGCAGCCTCCAGAGGCCTCCTTCATAAGGTAATATATGCTCTGAATTGTTGACCTGAATGATGGCAAGCTATAACTTATGTGAATATTTGGAAACAGTTTTTCAAGTAAAAGGAACAGTGAGATCTAAATAAATATACTCCTCGTGCACCAGGACTCTAGTTTGTCAATAAAAAGGAATGACATACTGTTTTCTACAACATAAATGGCATATATTTCTCTCATACTACATGTGTGATCTTCTTGAACCTCAGTTTTCTGTATTAAAATGGGAGTAATAACACTTTCTTCCACAGAACTTCTGACTACAATTATTGAGGATAAATAAATGTTGAAGTCCTTCATAAAGCACAAGTATCTCCATATCTAGAAGTACATGTTAAATATTTTAAGAAAAGTTTAATAGAAAAAGACAAGTGATTAACAGGGTACACTTACCTGTTCCTCAGAAAGGGCTTTGATGTACTTTTTACCCACTTTTTTCTTCATTGTCCAGGAAATGGCTCTCATTCTTTTGCCTAAACTTCCTCCATGATTTGAATTTTTATTTTTTTCTTCACTTTCATTTATAGGCTCTCCCTCATACACCTAGTTAGAATTGTTTGCAAAAGACAAAGTAATAAAGCAATAAAAAGCATTTTTTTCTGAACATTGCTATATAATACAACATAAGATAATACAACAGTATAATTAATACATTTGATAATGTCATATATATTACATTATACAAAATGTATATGAAATAGAATATATTCACTACCTCACCTTTAGCTACTTCTCATGCTTCCCTTGTTCACTATAGCAGTGTTTCTCAAAATGGGGTCCCGAGACCAGCAACTACAATATCACTTGGGGACAATTTGTATTTTAACAAACTCTTCAAGTGATTCTGATACATGCTAAAGTCGGAAAGAGCTATAATCAAGTGTCACCATACTAGTCTCCTTGCTGCTTCTCTTCATGGTCATATCAAGATTTGCATTTGCTTTTGCCACTGGCTTCCCTGGCGTCCAAACCTGTATTCCTTCCTTCACCCAGGTTTCTAATCAATGCCATGTAAAAGAAGGGAAGTTTCTGATTGATTACCTTATTTAAAACCGCTTGCTCCTGTCCATGCTCACCGCATGCTTATCCTGATTTATTCTTCTTCTAAAGACTTGATAGTACCTTATAACATTTGTTTGTTTGCTTGATTATTGCCTAAATCTCCCACTATGATGTATGTTTCCATGAGACTAGAGGCTTTATGTGTTTTATTTACTCTGAGTGTTTGAAATACTTTCAGTGACATAACTGACCCCCAATATACTTTGAATAAGCCAAACTTCTCATGTTGAACTTTGGAGTGATTTTTTTTTAATCTTAAAGGATGTATTTGGGTTACATATCTTTAACATCCCAAGTTTGTAAGAAAGGACCTTTGAAGATCATCTAGTTTAGTGATGCCCACCATTCCCAATAGGTGGACAGCTAGTCATTCCTTGAATATAAAAGACCATGAGAAGCATCTCTTTAGTGAACTTGAATATTTTAATATGAAGGTTTAACTATGTAGTTAATATAATTGTTAATCTACTATGTTTTGCTCCACATCTTACCCCAAATTGCCTATGATAAACATGAATGGACAGCCAATTTAAGCCCAGAGCTGTAAAGACAAAGATGTTTTGCTTACTTCAAAAAATCCAGAATAAAATATAACAGAAATAGTTTAAAAATTTAGAATTAGATGTTTTTTCTCTTAACTTTATTTTCATGTAAAATTACAAATTAAAATAAATAAGAAAGTATATTATTTTATTTATGTTAACTTATTATTGCCTAAACTTCAAAACTACCACTAAGTATTTTTTAATGTCAGATTCTTCTACTATTCTGCTCAGAAGCTTTGAAGAAACTACCTAAATATTTTTAAAATTTTAACATATTTCTATACTGTTTTCTTTTATAGATTGATCACAATTTTATTTAAACATTTATTTTCTTGTTTTAACTTTCTACCCCTAGAATCCAGACTTCATGAAGTAAGGATTTTCATATGTTATTGTAACAATATTCTGAATGCCTAACAGAAATCCTTCCATAGAAAAAATATTTGTTAAATGAATGAATGAATACTAGGTTACTGAAAAATCTACAAACTACTCTATCAGGTTCACTAAACTTTCACAAATACTAGGTCACTATAACTAATTAGTGAATTTGTGTGAGCCTGAGAAACATTTTAGGTTAACTATTATATACAATCATAAGTTTAATTGTATCTATGTATAATTATGGAAAGTTGTAGGTTTATACAATACTAGAGTCCTGATGCATGAAATTCATGCATGAGGGTGTGAATCCCTCAGCCCATCCTGCACCCTGTCCAATCTGGGACTCCTAGAGGGTTGTCCAACTGCCCTCACACAGTCTACGACTGCTGGCTCACAACTGCTCACCTGCCTGCCTTCCTGATTGGCCCTAACTGCTTCTGCCTGCCAGCCTGATCACCCCCTAACCACTCTTCTGCCAGCCTGATTGATTTCTAACTGCTCTTCTGCCAACCTGATTGTCCCTAACTGGCCTCCCCTGCTGGCCTGATCACCCCCAACTGCCCTCCCCTGCCAACCTGGTCACCCTTAACTGCCCTCCCCTGCCAGCCTCATCACCCTTAACAGCTCTCCCTTGCTGGTATGGTGCCCCCCCCCCCCACTGTCCTTCCCTGCAGGTCTAGTTGTCCCCAACTTCCCTCCCTTGTAGGCCTGTTCACCCCAACTTTCCTCTCCTGCATGTTTGGTGTCCCCTCCCCCAAATACCCTCCCCTGCAAGCTTGATCACCATTAAGTGCCCTCCATTGCAGGCCTGGTCCCTCCCAACTGCCCTCTCCTGCTGGCCATCTTGTATCCACATGGGGGCAGTCATCTTTGACCACATGGGGGCAGCCATCTTGTGTGTTGGAGTAACAATCAATTTGTATATTGCTCTTTTATTTGGTAGATTATTTGATAGGATGTTAACTAAAACTAGGGCTTCTTAATATATATATATATATATATATATATATATATATATATATCCTATATAATAAAAGGCTAATATGCAAAATTACTGGAAAGCAGGAGCTGTCTCCTCGTGCTCAGGGAGTGCCACTCAGCCAGAGGCCAGGTTCATCGCTGGAGAGTGCAGCAGCACTGGTGGGAGCTTCTCCTGCCTCTGTGGCAGTGCTACGCATGTGGGAACAGTTCTAAGCCATCAGTCAGACATCCCCCAAGGGCTGCCAGACTGTGAGAGGGTGCAGGCTGGGCAGAGGGTACTCCCTCACTCTAATTTTCATGTGCACAATTTTCATGTACCAGGCCTCTGGTCTATATATGTAAAAGGCCAGTGACCAGAATGCCAGAACCACTGGTTGCTATGATGTCCACTGCAGTCTGTGAACCAACTGGATCAGGGGATGGGGCCAGCTGGCCAACCTCCCATGGCCTCTCCCTTATCTGCTGATCCCTATTGGCCCCCCCACCCCATGAAAAGGCAGGGCTGGCTGGCCCACTGAACACAGCCCTTTCCCATGACCAGCCCTGCCCCTAACCAGCCCCCCCCCCCACACCCGAATCGGGGGTGGGGCCCACTGGCCTATCACTCATGGCTTCTTTTCCCAATTGGCTCAGCCCTGATCGGGCTCTGATCGGGGCAGGCTGGCTGGCCAACCTCCTGCCATCTCCATCTCCTGACAGGCCTGGCCTTGATCTGCCAATTGGGGTCAGGCCGGCCTGTGAATGAATTCATGCACTGGACCTCTAATATATATATACAATGTAATAAAAACATATTACATTGTACTATTTACAATTATGTAAGTGTTGATAGAAAATATAGCTGTATACAAGTTTATCTATAAGCATTTATATATAATTATATAGATGTATAAAAGGGGATATGTATAATATATGTGTATAAAAGAATATATGTTAAACACACTCATATATAGAACTAATACAGATTAATGAAGTAATAAAAGATGTCACTTTATTTTCATTTTTTGTCTAGAATATCCATCATTGTAATTAACAGTTTAAAATAGTATAGATAGATGCATATAAGAATCTGAAAAGTATTTTGAGAAATTATATTCAATAAAAGGATCTAATTCTATATAAAAAAACAAAGAATAAGAATACACTAGTTCAAATGAATAATTAAGTAGTGAATAAAATCTTAAACCTATTGCTTTAAAACAAATGTATCACATGCAGTAACATAGGAAATTTTTCTTAAGCTACATTTAAAGTGTTCATTACTTGCAAATGTGTATGGAATGGTCACCTCTGAGACATTTCAGTGCAGATGGCAGAAGTGTGAGATTATAATTGAGTAGCCATATGCTTTCCTTAACAAATTTACTATTAAGCTATTTAAATCATCTCCTAAATTAAAGGAATTAGAACTTAAATAAAATTTAAATACACATTGTTTTATGGTGGAACTGCTCAGAAAATTTGGGACGGTCTGAGTTACACTGTTATGATTCTCTCCTCAGACTCATGTTCTGCCTTCCCAATGGTCTCTCGGGCTTTGTAGGCAGTTCTTCACTTCCAGCATGGTACTAGGCACTAAACAATTGTTTGTTTATTTATCACCAAAAACATGGAAGGCTATAATTTTTAAACATATTTGTGTTTTACTATACAAAAGTGATGTTGGCTTTATAATTTTTGTGTGTTTGCATAATATGCATAAAAACATAATAAGTACCTCGGTGGATTCATCCGGTTTTGATGTGGAATTATTCCGAAAACGATCAAAACTTCCAAAGCTGCTGCTGCGCTAGAATATAGAAAATGAAGGGAAAGGACAGGAAGTTTAGGATTTGTGACTTTCATTGATAAAAGTGCAAAATATATTATGGTTCAATAAGCATCACTTATGCAACTGAAATCTGTATAATGTTATTATGATAACCAATAAATTCAACAAAAAGGAAAGAAATGTCTCTGGAATAAGGACACTGGATGTATAACTATTATTATAATTCTAGTTGCACATTTGATCAATTATCTTCATAGGTTTAATGTTATAGTGGTACACACCTTGGAGAAAATCTGTTTATTTTTTATTTTATAATGTGAATTTTCCTCATAAGAATGGCATGTATTACTAACCCATCAAACAACTAATAAACAATAAAACAAAGAAAACATCTGAATAGTTACAACATTATGCTTCATAAAGATCATATTAGTCAAAAAGCAAAACAAAAATAAGCATAAATACATTTTCCACTTCTAACTCCTGCTAATTTTAAATTCTCTATTTGATGTCAGAAAGAGAAGGCATACACATAGATCTATACATAAATTGAAAACAGCACTTAGTTATGCACAGCCTAAGGTTTGAAATAAACCTGAATTTTCCCACATTCAACATAGAATTACAATGAGACCTTAAGTCAATTTCATTCACTGGCTGTGAGAAAAAAAACACAACAACTTAGTATGTTAATAAAAGACTTGTTCTCTTGCTACTTTTTGTCCTGAGAAGATAATGTTTATTTTTATGTAACTCATTCTAGGCAGGTAATTATAAATAGTTTCTGATATTCTCCTAAACACATTTACAAATATCTTTGGTCATTGAGTAAAAGAATAAATAAATAAATAAAAATAAAAAATTATATTTTCTCACTCTCTGTTTAATTTTATACCATATTTTCCGGCGTATAAAATGACCCCCTAATTTTACAGTTAAAACATAGGTTTAGGCCTATATTCGCTGTATAAGACTATCCCTCACTTCAAAGAAAAGACTTACTTTGCCGTCAAGATCTGCAGGTAATTTTTGTGCAATTTTGGTCTTTTGCCCCTGATTTTCGGTTGACTTTTTTTCATTTTAAAAGTCTTATATGCCGGAAAATACGAGTATATTGTTTAAGAAGGTAGATATTTAATACTATGAGCTTAGATACCCACAAATCCTAAGAACATGTTCTGTCTAAAGAACTCCACCTCATTTCAAGCTTATATTTTCAAAATAAGCTGGTGGTACCAAAACATAATTTGGTGATCAGAAATGTTAATAATGGGAGCCAGTAACCTAGAAAACTGTCCTTTCAGATGCCACAGCCCACTTTAGTTCAAGTGAGCATCAAAGACTTTTGGTCCTTACAAGCACTCTTATACTCATCTCTTCCCAATAGTTATCTTTAAAACACTTTGTTTCCATTTTAAACGAGCCGAAATAAAAAGATCCTGACATGTGGCAAGGGGTTAGCTTGATAGATAACATGATACATAACATGAGAAAAATGGCTGTGTGGGACACACCTTCTGCTGACTCGCCACCCCTGCTGAACAAGCCCTTCCGCTGACGACAGGAGGAGAAGAAAAGGACTAAAACTGAGAACCACACTGGAAAATACAGTGTTCTAATGCAGAGCTTACCAACCTAGAGTGACTTCCCAAAGCAGTAATCACTCCAGCTTGCCTAGTAGGTGTTTCCATCAGGCCATCATTGTCCAGAGATCAGAAAAGGGAATTGATGTAATATTGTACAGCTTATAAAGTACTTCAACACAGGGAAATCTGTTACTCTCTTATATGCTTGAAACATTCATATGCATTATTGGAGCCTATGCTTAGAGCACATTAGCCTACATCCAGCCTGCATCCTGCCTATTAAATATTAATGAGGGTTACAGCATGGTTTCCACCATGTATAATGGGATTATGTGGCCCAAGAGGGTACAGATAGGCTCACTTCAGCATTTTTCTACACTATCTTCTGCCATTAAGTAATCAATAGTCACCACCTTTTAAAAGTAATTCCCTCTCATTATATCAATAAAGGGAAGCAGGTTTAGTAATAGTGGTTTAAGAAAGCTTCAGGACTATTACTTTGGATGTGTCAGTCATATTATTATAATTCACTCAACAGTTTTAAGTGAGAGGAGTATAATAGCAATCCATGCTAAGATATCCTTAAGAAGCAAATCTATGTATTTAAAATGACATTTAAAAATTTTATTATTCAATAAATCTAAAAGTTAGTGACTTTCTGAGATGGTTTCCTGATGTATAGGTTATAGTTTATAATGAAAAAGGGCTAATATCTACATTGAGGTATGGACAACACACAAATTATCATTTCTATTCCTGTTAAGTTTCAGTCATGTGGAAGCAAGTTGGCTTCACAGATAATAGTCCTTTCTAAATGAGAATGTACTGTAATATTGATAATTTTGCATGGCATAATTGTAATGAATCAGATTTAGCAAATATTATTCTATGACAGAAGCTCCCATCAAGACAGATCTATATATATAAGAGCCTAAGCAATCGTTAAGACAAAATGATTGGAATGACTGGAACAACCAGAATGACCCATCAATATGATGCTCACTGACCACCAGGGGGCAGACGCTCAATGCAGAAGCTTCCCCCAGCCCACTATCACCACAATTGCCAATGAGGCCTCCTGGTCTCTCTCTGCGACCAGCAGGGCCAGCAGGAACTGATGGCCTGATTAGAGCCAGGCCACTAGGCTGGGGTGGAGAACTTGGGGGAGGAGGGAGATGGTGGTGGTGGCAGCAGATGGTCTATTTCCCAGGAGGGCTGAGGGACAGCACCCTCCTGGGTCCCTCCCCCTATTCCTCCCCCAGTTAGCAGGCACTGATTGGCCCATCGCCAACCCATCATGGTGGTGATTGGCTCCTCCCCCTGGTCAGTAGGCCCCAATTGCTTGATTGGGGCCTGCTAGTCAACCTCCCAGTCCTTCCCCCTGACAGGCAGGTCCCAATCTCTCAATTAGGGGCGGGTCTTGGCCTGGGATGGGGAATTGGGGTTGAGTGGAGGTGGGTGCAGACATTGAGAGAAGGAGGGGGTGGAAGGGGAAGTGGGGAGGCAGGAAACCTGGTAGTCCCAATAGCTGGCCAGGCCTAAGGACCCTACCCATGCATGAATTTTGTACACTGGGCCTCTAGTTATATATATATATCTCCCAATAGAAGAGTAAGAAATAGAAATGCAATTTAGATTTTAGATAGTTCTTAGTTTCTGTTGACATTAGATCATATTTAGTCTTTAAATTGACTGTATAAATCTATAGTCTTTCATTGTTCAATTAAATATGTTTGTAGGCCTGGCTGGTGTGGCTCAGTTGGTTAAGTGTTGACCTGTGCACCAAAAGGATGCAAATTTGATTCCTGGTCAGGTCACATGCTTGGGTTTCAGGCTTAATCTCCATGCAGTAGGCAGCTGATCAATGTTCTCCTCTTGCATCTATTTTTTTTCTCTCTTCTCCCCCCTCCCTTCCTCTCTAAAAACCAATAAAAATATTTAAACATATTTGTAAACTGGCACAATTGCTGTGGAGAGTAATTTGGCAAAACTAGTAAAATTACTTTTGTATTTGCCTCTTGACCCAGCAATTCCGTTTCTCAATAACTAAACCAGAGATACATTTATATACAAACTGACTGACACATCCACATTCATTATGAAATTTTTATATTCATAAAAATTTTTATATTCATCAAAAGCTATAAAACTCAATGTTCACAAAAAGGGGACTGATTGAATATACTGTGAAACAAAGAAATTGTGTACTGCTGTAAGAAATTGAAATATATCTATTTATACTGCTATGGAATGATCTTCAGAATACAGTGTAAGTGAAAAAAAATCCCAATGAAGAAAATCATATTTAGTATGCTGCAATTTTTTGAAGAGTGGAAATGTATAATTGTGTTTTAATATGGCAAATATGTATTTTTCTTCTTAGAGAAATGGGGCAAGAGGGCTGTAAGAGATCAATCGAGGGACTTGTATGCTTGCATATAAACATAACCAATGGATACAAGACATGGGGGGATGGGCAGGTGAAGGCATATGCAGGGAGGAGGGTAGGAGGATGGGGGGAGGTCAAGGGAGGAAAAAAGGAGACATATGTACTACTATTTGTAATGCTTCAAACAATAAAAAAGAGGAAAAAACGATTTAAAAAAAGACAGGAAAGAAAATAGACATATCTAAATATACCTTGTTTTGTAAATCTAATTTTAAAATAATGTAACTACTTCACATATTATATTTTATATATTTATAAACAATATGAAATAAAAACCATCCTTAAAAATTCCAAATAAAAATGAAAAATATTATTAGTGTTGCTTAGGACATAGTTGTTTAGAAGTACTAGTATAGTTATATTTAAAGAAAAAATAAAGTGTTGCTTTATAAACTTGTGTTAGTATAACTAACATTTTATATAAATGTATATTATTGAGTGCCTTTAGAAGACTAACTGAGTTCACTTGGTGAAGATTACTTTTTTTCATATGGTCTACTTGGTTTCCATAAAAATAGAACTGACCAAATCACTTAGGTTTTGAACACATGTGTTTGTGAGTGTGTGTGTACACAATGCAATGAATAATTAAAATGACTCGGGAAGTTCATGCTTTTTTTTTTTCTAGTCACATATCCTCTCTAGTTTTCTAACAATTCTAATTACAGGTGACATAAAGCTGGCAGAGTTCTTAGAAATTATCTAATTTGACTTAATGAGAAAACTATTATAGGAACCAGAATTTTCAACAACAAAAAATCTTTTTTTCCAACTTTCCACTATGTCATTTCATTACAAAGTTTTAATATTTTCCTCTACTTTCAAAGAAACTTGCTATCTGAGCAGGATGGAAAGTGTGGAAAGTTGGCTTGATAGAAAGAATGGAACTGAATAGACTTCTTACAAAAATGACCAGCCTAAATTTATCAACAGCAGAAAAAGAATAAGGAAGTCACTTTTTGAGAATGTAAACGACCTTTGTG